CAAAGAGGATCTTAAGGGTTGGGCTATTGTGCACCGTATCTCCACATGGTAAACTACACGCCCCAAACGATGATGATTACAACTTCAACGCAAAACACATATGATGGGCGGTTCTATCAAGAAGATGGGCTACCGAACACGTTTGAGATAGTCTTACACAAGCAATCGAAATGGAAGTAGACAACGAAATGGTTGATGACGAGGTCGATGGAGATGTGGTGGTAAATGCCAAGGACATAGCAATGCTTGAGCGATTACTTCTAGGCAATGACGATGATGACAACATAGAACCTTCGGATAGTGTTGCCCATTTGGACAATTTTGACAGTGATGATGAGACCTATGATCCCAATCATGAAGATTATTCCTAATACATGTAATACTATAGTTTTTTAATTTGTGTTTTGTTTATATATTTTGAATCTATTTCTAATATATGTACTAATTAGTGTTGTTCATTCTTTCTGATTGCAGGTGATTGGACAAAGATGGTGAGCAGACGTCCATGCCGTGACACGCCCTCGGTTTACGGGAGAGACCACCCTCTCCTTCGAGGTGAGGGGTCGTCGTTCGGGGCAGCGTCCGTAGGAGGTGACGAGATGAGGACCAGGGGCAGCCGCCGCAGGAGGCAACGGTCTCCTCCCTCGACACGTGACGAGGTGCTGGAGGAGGAGCACATGACGGCCACGTCCTCGTCCTCGTCGGAGGACGAGAGGGGTCAGCAGACGGGCGAGGGAGACGAGGCGCTCGAGGGCCAGGGAGGCGAGGCGCTCGAGGGCGAGGGAGGCGAGGCGCTCGAGGGCGAGGGTACCGCTACCCGGACTCTGTACGAGCGAGGTCCCGTGAGCCTCCCTCCGGTTCTGCTTCCTCACAACCGCCTAGTTCGGCCTATGGCAAAGAGGTAAGTAACTATGGATGTTATCACAACTAGTTCATAAGATATGTTGGAAATCTTAAGAGAAACTGATAAATTTCTTAATCACTTGTGCAGGGCCTGGTTGGTTTTGTCGGGTACTCCAGCACGCACCCCCACGAGCATCCTTGGTGTTTTGTGTAGGAAATGGTACCCCGGCATTGTGCAACTGTCCGAAGAGCCGGTGGTGCGGGAGCCGGCCTCCAACTGGGACAGGTACACGCTGGTCACGGATGACACTAACCGCAACAAGCAGGAGCGAGTATTGGTGGAGTTTTGGGTAAGTCTCTCTCGCACAACATTGCTTAATACATCGCATTCATTGGTTAAATCTTTTATTAAAATAATGAATGGATACATCGGTTTTGTATGCAGAAATATTTCAAGGCCGAAGAAGGACTTGAGGCCCAGGCGGATCGGGCGGCTGCCGCAGCTTGTAGGAAGTACGTCACCGAGATGCACCACCATGGGCGCGTCCAGGCCCACATAGACTACTACAGGTCGGCACTTAGGCAGTCCCTCCCCAAGCCTCAAGCAAGACGGATTACGTTGACCCGGGACCAGTACCTTGAGGTAGGCGAATAACATTCATAATGATTCGTTTTGATATTAAGTAGGTTCAATTTCATCTTCTTATATGTCAAATACTCGATGAGTAGGTGATTCCCTGGTGGTGCCGATCGTATCCCGAGTGCTGGGCCATGATCGTGGACAAGTGGTTATCATATGACTTTGTTGACACGCACGAGAGGCAGCGGGAACATCGTCTGATGAGGCAAGGTCCAACTCACCATCAAGGCAGTCATAGCCTCCCCGGATACAAACAAGCATACGTAAGTGATTTCTTTCATTTATTTTGACGCTCAATTCTGCTTGATTTCTCACCATCTTCCCGTCTTTCTCGCAGGAGGCTACGCACCCGGGCAAGGAGGTCTCGAAGTTCTCTGTGTGGGCCATGTCCCACATGGGCAGGGTGTCGTCCTCTGTCTCCTTCGACCCGGCTGCCCCGCCACAGGCGTACTCCGACCCGAACGTGTACACTAAAGTCCAAGAGTACACATCAACGGTAAGAGAGATCTATGGGGAAGATTACAATATGCGCACTGAGCCCATTGATGCAGAGGTGATCATGAGGCTCGGAGGAGGCAAGAAGCACGGGCGGTTGTGGATTGCAGACGGCGCCATCGACTCCACCACTGTTCCCTCCCTCGACGCTATCCGAGCACGGAGCACGAGCTCCAGCCAGCCCATACGTCCATGGCCTTCTCCAGCACTGCAGTAGGTCCAAGCACTCCAGGTAATTCCTATTTTACTCGTCGTACGTAGATATTTACACACCTAAATTAGATTTGCATTACTGATACATTGGAGTGAAATATTACAGGCCAAGCTGCAAGAAACAAGAAGACAAAGTCAAGAGCAGAACGTGGAGCTGACCACACAGCTGTAGGCCCAGAAGGTCGCGTTCGAGGCCGCGCAGAAGCAGATGGCGGAGATGATGGTGATCATGCAAAGTCTTAGGCAAGCATCGGGTGTACCTATGCAATTTTCAGCTCCTCCACCTCCTACTCCTGCAGCTACTCCTGTAAGTATGAAAGTTTACTTTTCGCTTGTGCTTTGCAAGTATGTCGGCCTTCGTGCCGTTGTGGATGTCGGCGTTTGTGCCGTTGTGGATGTCGGCGTTCGTGTCGTTGTGGATGTTGGCGTTCGTGCCGTCGTTTCTTGTAAGTTTTGGAAACCTCCCCGTGCAGGGGAGGTGCTGCCGAAATTTTTAATTGAGTCTAATCTTTTTGTATTTCTAGATTACTAGATGCAATCTCTAAGTTCCAAAACTGTTTTCACGGATTACTCACACATGCAATCTTTGCTCCTTTGTGCAGCTTCCGTCCGCGGGTTCCAATCAACCCGCTAGTGCATCACCAGGTGATCCTGCTTTTCCTTCACCATCGTCTCATAGGCTAGCTTGATGAGGACTCGTGCTAGGTGATGTGGTTGGACTTTAGCGTGATTTGTGATTTATGGTTGTGACTTGTGCTTGGATTTCATTAACTTGTCGTAATAAACATGTGAATGATGATGAACATGTGACTTGTCGTTGTAATATATTGTGATTTGTGGTTCACAATTATGGTTGTGATATATTGTGAGAAAATGGGTTCTGTGTGATATATATATATATATATATGTATATATATGAAATACTTGTGTCGATGGAATACAAAAAACAAAAAAAATTAAATTTCTGTCTCTTTGTCGAGGGCAATGACCAAGGCCCTCGGCAAAGAAGGGTCCTTTCCCGAGGGCCCTAGCAATAGCCCTCGGCAAAGATTTTTTTGGAAAAATCCTGAAAATTTCTTGCCGAGGGCCAGGGAGCAGGCCCTAGGCAAAGGTTTTTAAAAAAAAATTAAAAAAAACTATTTCTTTGCCGAGGGCCGGCCCTCAGTAAACAAATTTTTTTTTGGAAAAAATCATGAAAATTTCTTTGCCGAGGGCCAGGGAGGAGGCCCTCGGCAAAGGTTTTTTTTAAAAAATTCTCCGGCCCTCGGCAAAAAAAATTCAAAAAAAAACAATTTCTTTGCCGAGGGTCGGCCCTCGGCAAAGAAACCGCCAACGGCGCCGGCGTGTTACGGCTTCTTTTCGTTGCCGATGGCCGTCCTGGTCCTCGGCAAAGGCTTTGCCGAGTGCCCGATAAAGGGCCCTCGGCAAAGACCCCTTCGCCGGCTAAAAATTCCCCGAGGGGTCTTTGCCGAGGGCAGCCTTCGGCAAAGCCTTTACCGAGGGTTTCTGGTCCTTTGCCGAGGGCCAAGCATGCGAGTCCAGTAGTGCAGCTCGTTAATCGTTTAGGAAAAAGGGTGTCCATATTTGATGTGATTCGAAATTTAACAGTTTGAAGTCGACGAGTTGCAATTGCAACACGAAAATCTAAACATCCACTAATAACTTTCTGCAACATTTGATCCTAGCGCTCATTGTCATCTTATTCTTTCGAGACTGAGAGAGAGAGAGAGAAACTATCCCAGACACTAGTGTTTATATATCATGTTTAATTCCTATGTAGCACCCAATACGTCGACTTAAGCAAAATGTAAACTAAATTCACCTGAAATACACTAAAATCATTTATATGTGCTAACCATACACTAACAACAGATCATTAGCTAGGTACTTCATCCGTCCTGAAATATAGTGTATCCTGGCATAATATTTTTAGAAAAAGGAATTTTTATTCTAGTCTCTACAAGAGTTTTACACACGACCAATTCTTATTACAAATCTAGCCTCTTGCTGTTTTTTAAGCTCTCAAAAAGCAAAACCAAACAAAGGAAAATTGATTAAACGCTAAGCGCTAAGCCTTTTCAGGGATGACCATCCATGCTTAGCGAAAATTTCCATAGCCACAGTCTCCATCATGTGACATGCCCACTTCAGAAAAGGTTTGTCGTTCTTTTGTATGGCGTTCCAAAAATGGATCCAATAAGTTACCCTGAAAACAACCTGCAAATAAGAGCAACCTGCAAATAAGAGTATAGTTATTTTTATCAAAAATCCCTTCGTTTCTAAATAGTCAAATAGACCACGAGATTGCACTTGCCCCCATACAAATTAGAGAGCGCAAGGGTTGGTTTGTTTGTACATCCCACAGCCTAAATAAGTCGGTTACATCTTTTGGTGGTTCGAGATTAAAAGCCACTTGACAGACTCTCCAAACAAATCTAGCCACATGACAAAGAACAAATGCATGATAGTTTCCTTATTGTCACATAAACAACATCGGTCGTCTCCTTTCCATTTTTTTTAATTGTCTTTGGTTAAAATTACCCCTTTTATCAAGAACCAAATAAATATCTTAATTTTAAGTGGTAATTTTAACTTCCATAACAACTTGTTTAATGGCATAGCAATTTGATTAATTAAGTGTTTATAGTACCTGTCGCTAGTACCCATCTCCAAATCCACATCCACATCAAACGGGTAGGGTGTGGGGAGAAATTATTTTACCCATTAGAAACGGGTAGGTTATGGGTATTATCCACTACTAAGAGGATAAGGGAGGGTATCATCCGTTTTACCCGTGATCTCGGCCGTGATGGCGCGCGCGCGGCGTCGGCGGTGCGTGCGTCCGCGTCCAACTGCTTCGCGGACTTCCGCCGCCCGGGGGCGATCGAGGGCACTGCGGGTGCGCGACCGCCTGGCGCTGTCCTACTGCGTGGTGCTGCTGGGGTACACGCTGGCGCAGCTGGGCACGGCAACGGCCGAGCTGTCGGCGCCTCGGCGGGGAACCGCACCGGCGGCACCGTGGAGGAGTTCGAATCCGAGGCTGTGGCGGGGGTCCAGATCGTGCTGTCAGCGCCGGGGCGTGGCTGGTGGAGAGACAGCGCCGCTGGAGGGGTACGGACCCGTGCGATGCGGGTTCCCGTCGTGGGTGTCGGCGGCGGACCGGAGTTGGCAACAGCTGCAGGTGGTCTCGGTCCCGTACTTGGTGGTGGCCAAACGGGAGCGACGGCATGTGGAGGACGATGATCAAGCCCAGCCGAAACGTCCTCGACTCCGTAGTCCGTACGTAAGCTTGTCTGCTCGTCTCCTCATCGCCGGCGGGTCTTGTATGCGTATCTGTTTTTGAGTTTCGACGATCCGACGAGTGACGACGATCTGGCCTCGATCGATGCATCAAGATTACCAGCGAAGCTATCGTGGGCATCCGGGGCTACAGGACGTCCGTTCTTTGCACGGCGGCGGTGCCCAACCTTCAGCGGAGCTTATCCATTGGCTTCCCCATTATCCACCGGGTTTGGGCAAATGGGCATGGGTTTAATTGGGGAGGGTGGGGAATGGGGATTAGCTGGATGGGTTTGGGTTTGGTGAAGCCTGAAATTGTCCAAACCCTCCCCAACGACAGGTATAGTTTATACATTGATTGCACTGTGAAAGATAAGACTCCACTTAATGGAATCTTGTTGATCATCCAACTGCACAAATACAATTTTAGCCACTAATTCATTCCATTTAAGTAGCTTTTCCCCCACTAGAGATCTTCAGAAAGAAATGTTAAGGGGTGTGGAAGCAAAAGCATTGGCTACTGATATATGTTTTTTTTTTCTTTGAGAGTGAAGTTTCCAAGCCACTTAGTCCTCCCAAAACCTGGTTTGACTACCAATGTGAATGTTAAAAACGGAGAGATCTAAGGAAGCGGTCTTTTGCCTTTCATAAAGCCTGACCAAAAGTGTAAATCTCCCGGTTTTCAATAAACTTCACCAATGATTTTATTTTTCAAATATTTCTTCCTAAGTGCATCCTCGTATTTGAAATTTGTCATGAAATATAATGCATTCGGGGAATAAAGAAGATAATATTTACTTAAATAAAAATACGTGATTATTTTGTATAAGGAAAGTAATTCATGTGCTTGTCATATTTTGTATAAGGAGACTTAGAGTTCATCCTTTAATCATGCGAAACAGAATCGGCGAGGTGTTTGGTTCGCCATTTTGTAACGTAATCGAATCACCGAAGGGAAGTGATACCGTTACTTTTGTTTGGTTACATGCAGTCAGTAATGCGTTACCATGTAATCGATTGCCGGACTGTTCAATTTTGATTCCCCTGCTTGTAGACTGTTATCGGATTCCTACGCTCAAGAATCAGCTTGCATCGTTCCGTGCTCGGGCAGTTCTGCTGCCCCCGCCTTCCCCTGCAAGTTCTGTCAGTGTGGCCGCAGCCTCCTCGTCGGCTCTGCTCGAAGCAGCGTTTTGATGCAGAGTCCATGGCAACCGCACGCCGCCGTTGCTGCCGTGGCCCGCCGCTGCTGACGGTGGTGGCGGCTGTCTATGAAGGCGAGACCAGAGATCCATTTTGCTGGCACAGATCGGCCAACACAGGCATGGATGAACTCAGCAAAGTTAAGATTCTAGCCTCCGGCGAGCAAATCTGGGCAGGGACACGGCCCGCGAGCACCTTGCGTTCTGGTGTCTAAAGGAGGAAGACGACTCTGGCTGCAATTTTTATTTTCAAAATGGTACGACATACCGTTACCTTACAGAACCAAACAAAGACTGCAATCAGGCATTACAGCTCCGATCACCCTGTAATTCCATTTCGTTTGCATTAGCGTTACCATTCGTCGAACCAAACGCCTTGCGGGTTTCAAATGATTAGGAAGCTAAGTGAAATACATGCGTCTATTGCACTCTATTTTATTTTGTTAAAGAATGGCTAGAATACATTATATTTCAGGACAGAGAGAGTACCTTCTTATGGCAACGCCAACGAACATATATATATATATCTCTTTTTTGGGAACTCCACTTCATTGATTAAACAATGTTATTACAATCAAATTACAAGCAATGTTGCAAGAAGCTAGGAGGATGAGACCAAACAAAGGAGGCTAAAGCAGAGGAAGCATGTTGGGCACATAAATGTGCGACAAAATTCGCCTCTCTTCTGGAGTGAAGGAGCTGAAACAAAGTGAAGTTGGAGACCCTCCCTTCCACGTCATCAAGAATCATAAAAAATATACCAACTCCATACAGTTAGATTCCACTATGATCTGCTCTCTGGCACCCTTTGGAATTATCCAAACACCCTCTCGAAAAGCTTTCGCTACTGCCATTAGCACTGACCCATCGAGTCTTTCCATCGAGTTGAAGTTGCTAGCATGGCGCCTGAATTTTTTATTTTTTAGTCTTTTTAAAAAAAAATCACAAATATATCTCTGGAGGTATGATTCCAAAATCTGGAATCTTAGCTCAGCGTCATCGTTGCTGGCGCCGAGCTTATACGTCTCCACGCCATCGCTGCTGGCGCCGAGGTCTTGGGCTCAACGCAGACGTGGCGGTGACTTGGCAGGCAGCTCGGCGCCGTAGATCCTGGCGCTGAGCTTGGCGCTGTAGATCCTGACGCCGAGCTTGGCACCAATATCTATGGCGCCGAGGTGGTGTTTTAACCTGGCCTCCAACATTCCTGCCCGAGCCTTCTTCCTCTTCTTTCTCCGCCCTCTCGGGTTTTTTCTCTCCCCACTTCGCCCTACCTCACGAATCGACATATTGGACCTTGAAAACTTTGATTTGATCCGTAGATCTTCAAGAGCAAGGTATCCTTGCTCCCCTTCTAATTTTTTTCGCATCGATTTGGCATATATTAGTCGGATTTTCCAACCTAAGAATCATCATTACTTAGGGTTTCATGCAATTTTTAATATTTATATTATACAATCGTAGGATGCCAAGGCGTGAAAAAGCTAGAAAACCAAGGTAACCTCAGCGCATGTTGTTATGTTATGGGTTCATTGTTGTGCATCAAATGGGAAATCCTAGGTTTAGGGTTTAATGTTAATTGCTTTCGGTTCTTAGAACAAAATTGGTTGAATTGTAGTTATGACCGGATGACCGGAAATGCCTTCGACCCATTGCCTCCGCCTAGTGGTGTTCCAGTGCCCATGTGCTTTTGCGGCAATCCTTGCAGGGTAGCTAAATTCGATGAAGAGGATACGTATAGGCAGAGGTATTGGATGTGTTCCAATTTTACGTTTGAGCCTACACTTCGTCAGCGCCGCATTAACAAGATGGTGATGAATTGATGTTTGTGTCATATGACATCTTGCATGATTTTTTTTTGTTTTATAACAATTGCATTTTTTGCAGACCCCTCCACCGCTCTGTGATTTTAAGCAGTGAATCGACACTGAGATCAAGTCTGAAGACAAGGAATGGATGCAGAAACTGTTGCGGTGGGAGGCAGAGGACAAGGAGATGATGGAGAAGAGACGCGGAGAGGAGGCTGCAAAAAAAGAGCACAAGGAAGAGGAGGAAATGAGGCGTGTTGCTGCGTACAGGGAGACGAGGCTTGAGCGTGCACGCCGAGTGAAAGCAGCGATAGAGAAGAATCCCGATGCCCTGAGGAAGGGAAAGTGGCCTCGTTGCACTCAGTAGTCTCCATGACTTGCTAGTTCTATGGTTTATTCATGAACAATGTTGTCTACTGTCGGCATATACTTCTAGTATTATTGTGTTGTTTAATATGGCATAGTATTGGACTTTTCATTATGTAATTGTTTTCATTATTTATGGTCATAATATTCAGTATAATGTTGCGGACAAAGTGAAATGTGATCACGTGCTGCAAACACAACCTAACGAAGTAGGGCATTATATAATTCAACACACAAAACACATGAAGTGGCATATGAGAACATGTACCGAACTAGGGTACAAAGTTCCTTCGACTAAACCTAATATGTCTTAGATAATTAAACCAAACAACAAACACATGGATGTGCCATGTGAATAAGATAGAGTCGTCCTAGTAGTGTGTCACATAGTAAATTGTGTTGCACCTTTCTCCACAGTAGCCTCCCATTGTTGGTGGTGGTGGTGGCCGGGGTAACGGCGGAGGCCCCTTGTTCTTGTGGTTGGGGCAGGTGCAATATGGATCATTGCAGAGTGTCTCCTGTGAATCGGCACCATTGTTGTTGTCGTCATGTTCCTTGTCCTTGTAACCGCTGCTAACTTCTCTTTCTAGATCGAAGATACGGTCTTGCAGGCAGTAGATGTACTCCGCATGTGAATAAATAGGTCGATGATCGATCCACCTAGTGAACCCATAGTTTTTTTCGGCCAAGACTGCAATAAGTATGTCATATAAGTTGTATAGAAGAGGAACATATTGAAGAAACAAATAGTAATAGCAATTACCCATGCTCGTAGACATTTGAAGAAACGACAACCTCTATCTATTTTCTCGGTGAACATCTGCACTGGGCAGTCCTCACCATGCATGCATTTTGACCACTCTTCTTTTCGTTCATCGTATCCTCTCAGTGGTGCCTCTTTGGTGAAATCATTTTTGTTCTCAATTGGGAACCTCTCATAAAGAGCTTCCTCAAAGAAATCGGGACCAAGAGAATCCTCCCACATAATGGTAGTTTCCTTCCTCTTTCCTCTCCCTCTAGACGACCCTCCGGACATTGGTACTGCAACGAAAGAAAATACTAGTTGAAAAGTAAGTAGCAATGCATCCAACATTGTGTATATATAGGCAGAGGTAGGTTTAGTTGACGAGCGCAGTCGTGGGCGGCACGGCGGGCTCCTGCGCGGGCGGCACGCCGGGCGTAGGCGAGGCCGGGCGCGGTGGCCGGCGCGGTGGACGCCGCGGGCGCGGATGAGAGCGCGGGGAAGGGCGTGGGCACGGGCGGCCGGGGGCGGGCGAGGGCGCGGGCGGCGGCGGCGGTGCGCAGGTTCGGGGCGAGAGGGAGAGAGAAAGAGAGAAAGGAATGGAGGGCCCATACGTAAAATAGGCTTGACGCCAATAACCATGGCGCCAAGCTCGGCGCCGAGCTGTCTGCCATGTTTCCGCCACGTCTGCATCGAGCCCAAGACCTCGGCGCCAGCAACGATAGCGTCGAGACGTGTAAGCTCGGCGCCAGCAACGATGGCGCCGAGCTAAAAGTCCAGATTTTGAAATCATAACTCCAGGGACATATTTGTGAATTTTTTTCAAAAAAAGGCTAAAAAATAAAAAAATTCGGGCATGACGCCACCACTGTTGCGCATCACCACCCCTGTTGCTCCGCTGTTGACACATTAATTTTCACCGTCCCCTCCCCAGGCAGTTGCCAATGCTTCACTTGCCTCAGCATTGTCTGTGAATCTGTCTGCTTGCCACTAATCAACTGGTAGCAGGTCTCAGTCGCCCAAGCCAAAGCCTTGCCTGGATTTATAGGTATTTTTCCATGCTGACGGTCATTCCTACTTCTCCATAAAGACCACATCCCGCACATGATCACGCGCCTGTCCTCCTCACTGCAAAATGAACTCTATAGCAAGTCCCTTGCCCATATTCGCGGACAAAGCATAGGCAACTTCACTCCTGTGAGTGTTTTGAACTTGTTCCATAACTTAGTCGCAAAGGTGCATTGTGTAAGTGCGTGGTAAGTAGTTTCATCCTCCATTCCGCAGAAACCACAAGTTCCCAGCGATTCTATGTGTTTGCGGTGAAGGTTCTATGTCTCGGAAATGGTCACCATTGTCGTTTCTAGGGAACAAACCACACACCTTTTGCAGCCAGTGAGCTGGATCCAATTAGGCCCTGTTTGTATCCTCTAGTTTTTGCCAGTTTTTAAGAATCTAGCTTTTGGAAATTGGCTAGTACTTGAACAGGTCAGTTTTTGCTGTCAATTTTTGCCAAATTCTTAAAAAACAAGAAGCTATTGATACCTAGCTTTTGCCAGTTTCTTATGACCAAGTGAGTAATAAATAAAGTCAGATTCTTAAAAACTAGATGATCCAAACACTCTATCGGATTTTGCTTAGAATCCAAATTTTAGAAACTAAAGGCACAAACTAGTTTTTAAGAATCCGAAAATCATCTAGACAGGGCCTTACTCATGCTGGCAACTAAACCGGCCACCTGATATGTTGCACCCCGCGAGCCTAGGTGAGCCACAAACCAAACCAATAATAATCATGGTGTAAAAGAATCGGTACACGACGCCGATCGAGAAGATCAAAGGCAATGCATTGTGTTCGCGATATTTTCACAAAACCCGATGCTAGCATGGATAAGTCAACGCCGCTGTTAGAGGCCCTGCATTCTTCCTTACGTCAGCGACGACGCTAATGCGGCATGCATGGAATCGTCGCAAAATGGCGCGCATGCACAGAGTTTGAGATCAATCGGTCGTGCCCACGCGTCGACCGTCACGTCCATGCCTTTCTACGCTGCATGCATGCTATAAGCTCCATCTCAAAATTGCGTGCAACAACCGTCCTACGTACGTCGGAAACATGCACGCGGGGCATGAATGATATATTATTGGTTTTGTGACCGTAATAGTCGTTGGATGTTTTTTTAATTGCACAAGTACTGGGTGCAGACGTTTAACACGCACGCACACTCGTCCTTATGAATACACGTACATAAACTCTCCCCTTATGAGCCCATCCGAAAAATTGTACCGGCACATCTCGAGATTGACGAAGTCACCATAGATGTCTTGTTGTCAACAGGAACGTCACCTACAACTAAAAGAATAACACCGTCAAATTCTAAAATAAATCCAGAAAAATACGACGAGAATTTGCCACGCTACGCCGACCTTAAGGAAGCTTCTCGTGCTCATGGTTCCCTTGGTCACTGCATGCAGCTCCTACTTCTTGGGTTTCTTCGTGAGGTTTATGACCATCCACGTCGTACGTCCGCAGCTACAAGTAATTTGCATGGGCAGCAAGGGTAAAGTGATGCGAGTGAGAGCCACTAGCCTTGCACGTGCACGCTAGTAGTAATTTGCAGTGCGTAGGAGTACTTAACAAAGGCGACGCACGGCAGCCCTTCCGCCTCCGAGGCGCTGCCACGGCGAGCGTTCTTCTGCAACCTTCTCCGCGCCACGGAGAGACTCCGCGGGAACTTTTTTTTGCCATCTAAAATTTATACCTGTCACATCGGATGTTTAACATTAATTTTAAGTATTAAACGTAGACTAATTATAAAACTAATAGCACAAATTAAAACTAATTTATGAGAAGAATCTATTAAATCTAATTAGGCTCATATTTAGTTTTTTTAATTAGTATCTAAATACCCAATATGACATCTACAACTTTAGTGAAGATCAAACACGCCAGGGCGAGCTCGATTGTTGCCGGTGCCCCACCACCTTTCTCCGTCGTATCGTCACTCCAATCCCGTAGCATCACTACACGTACTTACACGGTAGCCACATTATCATGGAGAACTGCGAAAGTATCGACTACTATCAGAAGCCTTGTCATGCTCCCAACAAGCCAACGACCATGGACGAACCCAAGGACGACGGCAAGGGCAAGGGAAAGGCCATTGCCGTTGCTGACCACGCCATGCCGGCGCCGCTGACCAGGAACAACCGGAAAGCCAGGAGTTCTTCAGCGACTCCGAGTCGGGCTCCGAGTCCATCGAGATCGCCGACCTCAAGAAGCGCCAAGCGCATGTGGAAGGACCAGCTGCTTCTCATGAAGCTCGAGGGCCGCTCGGACGGCCGCGACCGCGCCGGCCACGACAGTGAGGCCCAGCTCCAGCTCCAGCCCGGCACTGACGACCACTCGGCCTCTGCTGCTGCTGCGCGCTGCCCTGGTCCAGCAGACCAACAAGGATCAGCAGGAGTCGCCTGAGAGCCGGTACCGCCGCAAGGCGATGCTCCGGGCGCAGGACGGCGTCAATATAGTTTTCCAAACAGGCGGCACTGGCACTACACGGCACTAGCACTACACGGCACGGCACTATCAGGCACGGTGTCACTGCTGTGTCGTGCCGTGCAGTGCCACCGTGCCCAGACTCTGGCCCAGGCACGGCACTAAAGCCCTCAGATAGTGCCGTGCCTTGGCACTAAAACCACATCACCACTTCAACAGATCAGAATCAAAAGAACAGTTCAAAAACAAACTTGAAATCTGATGAATCAGAAATCACAAAGAAGAAAACACAAGACGGGAAGTGGGTCAGCAGCAGTACGGCCGTAGAGTTCCTCGGCAGCACGACGGCCGAAGAGCTCCTCGGCATCCCCAGCGACATCGTCCTCGTCGTCTCCGGTCATCCCGCAGAGGCGCAGCTCGTCGTTGATGGTCATGGAGAGACCGATGTCCTCCTGCTCGTCTGACATCTCGTCGTCGCCGGCCTTCGGTCCCTCAACGCCAACGCCTACCAAAACCAAGAACAACAAGAACATCTAGGGTTAATAGAAGATCATGAAGAAATCAAGAAGAAGAATAAAAACGAACAGATCTAGGGTTACGGCTCACCTCTCTTGACGGAGCACCAGATACAACGGCGACGATGACGTCGCGGAGACTCGACACCCTGGTACCTCAACGCATCAGAGCGAAGCCCCAATGATGCCGGACTCCGGCGAGGTTGATGAGAGCGACGAGACAGAGACGAAGACGAACGGTGGTGGATCTCGACGAGAACGCTACATCGACGGTCAAGGAGAAGGAAGAGTGGTGTAGAAGGCCGTGCCGTGTGCCCGTGCCAGCAACCGCCGCCTTAACCAGCCACCGGATGGTGGGAAGAAGAGAGGAGAGCGGCTAGGGTTTCAGTCGATGGGAGAGCTCGATGCGGCCATGCGGCTAGAATGGGGACGGAATGAGCTAGGGTTTGGAAAGGTGGGGAGCCAGGAGCGGCGGCTGGCTTATAAAGCCGTCCCACCCGACCCCTAGATCCAACGGTCAGCAGGCGGGGGCTCCATCCAACGGCTCGAGGCCGTGCCGCCCCCGTGCCGGCCGTTGAAGTGGGCCATGCCCGTGCCATGCCATCGTGCTGGCATCGCGGCCCAGGCACGGGCACGGGGCCGTGCCATGCTTGGCACGGGCACGGTAGCTGCCGGGCCAGGCAGTTTTCGTACCAGGCCAATTCGTACCGTGCTCGTGTCGGCCCAGCGGGGTTGTCCCGTTTGGAAAACTTTAGGCGTCATCCGCCACATGCTCAAGATGATGGAGGCGTGCAACGCGCCGGGTTCGTGTACGGCGTCGTGGACGAGACCGGTGTGCCCGTGTCCGGCTCCTCCGACAGCCTCCGCGGCTGGTGGAAGGACGAGGTGGGCTTCGACCGGGCGGGCCCGATGGCGCTGTCCGTGGCCGCCGCCGGCGGCGGCCTGGAGGCGGAGGGCGGCCCCTGGAGCCCGATGGTGGCGTCGTTCCTCCACGGCCTGCACGACATCCAGGACAGCACGCTGGGGTCCCTGCTGTCGGCGCTCATCCAGCACTGCGAGCCCCCGCAGCGGAGCTTCCCGCTGGACCGCGGCCTGGCGCCGCCATGGTGGCCGACGGGGCGGGAGGCCTGGTGGGGCATGCAGGGCGAGGCGCAGGCGCACCAGGGCCCGCCGCTGTACCGGAAGCCCCACGACCTGAAGAAGGCCTGGAAGATCTCGCTGCTGAGCGCGGTGATCAAGTACCTGGCCCCGCGCTTCGACCAGATGCGCAAGCTTGTGTGGCAGTCCAAGCGGCTGCAGCACAAGATGAGCGCCAGGGACGCCGACACCTGGTCCAAGGTCATCTCCCGGGAGGAGGCGCTCGACCGCCACGCGCAGCGCGCGCTGCAGATCACGCCGCTCGACGAGGAGGAGGAGGACGATGACGGTAGCCCCGACGCCGACGACGCTGGTGGTGGTGATTCTCCGCTAGCCGCGGCAGCGCACGTCGAGAAGCGCAAGCGCAAGATCAGCGGCGAGGGGGGCACGGGTAGTAGTAGCGGCGGCCTCGACGTCGGCAAGGAGATGCTGGCGCTGCCAGACATAGATTGCGTGCCCGATGCTGACCGCAGCTCATCGACGAGCTCATGAAGCTCTATTACCGCTGCCTGCAGGGGACCGACGACGACGGCGAGCACGAGGCGAAGAACGCGGTGGCGCCAGTCCCGGACGGAGGGCAGCATAGCGGTGTCGCCGCCGTCGGTGTGACCACGCAGGCAGCTGCGCCGGTGGCGCACGACAGCATGCACCAAGGAGGTTTACAGCGCGGTGGCGGGACCGCGCCCGACGGGTCGGCGGCGGTGCATGACGACGACATGCTTCACAGTCTTCTGGGAATCGCTGACGTCGTGGACATGGGTGACTACTCCTCCGGCTATTAGAATCGTAGTATAAGTCTAGAAGTGAAGTGCTATGCTGATTACTTATGCCTGTTTAATTATTTCCTCAACTTCAGTTCAAGTTTGGTGAGTCATAAGCAAAGCTACTTAAGTCCGGTTTGTTTGAAGTTGTATTTTCAAAGATGATGGAGGAACTTCTGATCTGGAGCGTATGAATCATATGCAGGGGTGGTTTGGCAGCGTTGTTCGGAGCAGCGCAGATTGTCCGTGAAAATCACTTATCCTTGGCTAAATAGATTTTGATGGAGAGAGTGTAATCACTTTTCCATTTACACCGAAGAAGCTAAAAAAATCTGTTCCTTAACGCTCCCTTCTCAATCCTCTTACCATAATCACTATAAAATCAATTTTCATCTGCATATTACCCTTCTCTACTATAAAAATCTACTAAAATCACCCTACCAGAAATTAAAAAGTTAAAACTAAAACAAACTCTACTAAACAGGTCCGTACACAGTCACTTGACCGTGAATAAGTTTGGTTGGGTGAAGACTAAAGACTCGTGAAGGCAAAGGGAGTCGCATGCAACACCAACATGCGCATAATCAAATTTTAGTCGGTTCAACAGGATAAACATTCCATATTTAAGCCTTGTTTAGTTCTGGTGTAAAGTTTCGAGGTGTTACATCGCATGTTACATGGGTGTCGCACGAGGTATTCGGATACTAATAAAAAAATAAATTACAGAATTCGTCAATAAACCGCGAGACGAATTTATTAAGCCTAATTAATTCGTCACAGCACATATGTTACTGTAGCACTTTATTGTCGAATCATGAACTAATTAGGCTTAAAAGATTCATCTCGCAAATTAGTCGTAATCTGTGTAATTAGTTATTTTTTAGTCTATATTTAATACTCTATTCATGTGTCAAAATATTCGATGTGATAGGGTGTAAAGTTTTTGCGTAGGAATTAGACAAGGGCTTAGTTTGCTCCTTCCAAAGTGTCAGATAAACCTAGGATCTTGTCAGGTACCAGAAGAAGCGCCAGTTCGGTACACCCTGACACATTTTCTTGTGTTGTAACACAGCCTCCGAGAGTGGCGGAGACCTACGCGGCCAGCAGTTCGCAGAGACGTCTCCGACCGACTACCTAAGCAAAGGCTCGGCTACCACGCCTCCAGACCCAGAAAGATGACGGTTTCTCAGACTGCTTGCAGGACGCCACCGGTGACCCTGGCGCAGCCTCCGCCCGGTTAGCTCGTAGGCGTCTCCGGCCGGAGGGGGCGGAGGCCGCCCCGCTGCAAGGCTAATCAAGTGCCAACGTTATCTACGTGTGTGTGCAGGTAACCAGAGGAAGGCGCTCGTGGACGGCGCGGGCGCTCCGGTTCGGCCTCCGCTCGCAGGGGCAGAGACCCAAGCAGGAGGACAACAATACTGGGCATCGGGGGTCTGCGGCCTCGGTGTCCCAGGGGCGGAGACCGATGGCGGAGGCCTAAAGGCCCATCGCCGAATCCTGAGGCCTGATGGGCCAGCTGATCGCGCAGGCCCAGTACCTGAGGGCGGCAAGACAAGATTACCCCCGAGAAGAAAGGCGAGTAGTGGGATATTCCGAGAATGTACTGTAGCAGTTGAAGGGTACTATTGTAAAATCTGTAAAAGTGGTAGTTGAGCCCTATAAATAGGGAACACTTGTAACAGCACGGGAGGTTGGTGAATGAATTAATGAAACCCTAATTTTACGTGCCATTTCCCTACACGCCCGCTTGTCGTGTCTGTTTCCCGAGCCTCAGCCTGAGGGCAGCGCTTGGCGGGCGGAGGTCTCCACCTCCTCCACATTGTCTGAGACCGCAAGTCTCAACATTGGCGCCCACCGTGGTTTGGCCAAGGCAAACCAACGATGGCAGGGAAAAGAAAAACCACCACCAGAGCAGCAACGACCACGGGTCAGCGAGGAAGGCCTAGGCGCACCACTCGTAGCACCTACGCAACCTCGCCAGCGGAGGATGACACCAGAGCAGATGCCCAGGGTCAACCACCAGAACCCCAAGATCCAGAGATTCAAGATCCGGAGGCCCAACCAAACTCAGCCACAACACTCGAGCAAGAACTGCAACAGCTACAAGCACAGTTGCAAAGAGCGCAACAAGAGAGGGACAGAATGGCAGCAGCATTCGTAGCTAATCAACAAGCTATTCAAGCGTCAGCACAAGCAGCAGAAATAAGGCAGCAGTTGGCAGTCCTATATGCTGAGATGCTAAGTATGCAGCATGCAATACCAGCGTCAACCTCCGCAATCCCAGCATCCGCAGCAACACCAACTGCAACCATACCACAAGGGCCTCCGCCAGAGATCAGCCAGCCCACGGTGCCATCTTAGGTGATGCGGAGGCCTATCGATCCCAAGTCCCCACTCTCTGAAGGCATACAACAGTCGCCATGGCCAACGGCTTACAAGCCAATCACACTACCAAAGTTCAACGGAAAGACAGACCCCCATCAGTTCATTATGAGTTACGAGGCAGCAGTAGCCTCCGCCGGTGGAGATGACGCCGTCTTGGCAAAGTCATTTGTCATTGCAGCCGAAGGCGACGCGTTGGCTTGGTATTCTATGCTCAAACCAAGCATAGTCTATTCTTAGGAGAACCTCCGGGACAGGATATTGGCAAACTTCAAGGGGCTAACAGCACAGTCACTGACTTTCACAGATATGTTCCAGTGCAAGCAAATGCAGGGAGAGACACTACACGACTACTTCCGGAAATTCGTGCAACTAAAGGCGAAGGCACCAGACGTCCCAGACGAGATCGCCATTGAAGCAGCGATCAAAGGCCTCCGAATCGGGCCATTTGCAGCACACCTAGCAAGAAAGAAACCAACTTCCATACAACAGTTGTATGACGAGTTCGAGAAATACTGCAGATCAGACAATGACCTCCGGAAAAGGCTGGAGGAGCAGGGTCAAAACAGATAGCAAAACAGCAGCAAAAACTCCCAGAAAACCTATACGAACCAGAATGCATCAAATCAAAAACCAGGCCAGGGGCAAGTGCTCAGCATCGAGGGTCAACCTCACCCCAAGCAAGGGTAACAGGCAGCGCCAACACGGCCGGAGACCCAGACCAGGAACCAAGGTCGGCAAGGTTACCAAGGCAAAAACTAGAACAAAACCATAGCTTAAACAACGAGAGCCATATTATGCGTTTTCACGGCGAAAACGCAGGAACAAAGACCAAAGATTGTCCGGAGACAAAAGAGACACAGGAAAGGATGAAGAACAAGCAGAATGCCCAACCTCCGACACAACAGAGTGCAAGAGAGGTCAACACCACCTACACAACTGGCCACCAGCAGTACTGCCCAATGTACCCAGCGCTAAATGCAACCCAAATACATCCCTCCACACTGGCCTCTGCCTATTACCCAAACTTCCTACCAGCATGGCGGTCAGCGCCTTCAGAAGAAATCCCGTGAGGTAACTACAGGTCGGAGGCAAGCCTGACTCTACATAAACCCAAAACCTCCCACATAACCTACCTCAAACAAACCCACCGCACAAAAACCAAATCAGGTTCGAGCCTCCACCACAACAAAGACCACATGCAAAGCTGCCTCCACCGCCACCTCACAACCAACCACCAGCACCAAAAAATGAGCCAAACCCAAAAAACCAAGTCAACCCCCATGGACCGCTACCAACAATAGGCATGATACTACCAATCACCGGAGGATCATCAATGGAGTTTCAAACGAAAAAGCAGAAAAAGGATCACCTCCGCTTGGTAAACAACGTAGCAGTCCAAGGCCCAAAGAAATACATGATTGGTTCAGAGTCCCAATCACCTTCACGAAGAAGATCTCCACTAGAAAGCTACCCTCACGCAGACGCAATGGTAATCAAGACCAACATAGCAAAGATGGGAGATAAGCAGAGTAATCTTGATTGACCGGCGATTCAACGGATATCATCTTCGCAAATACCTTCGACCAAATGAAGCTCAGCAGAAATCAACTACAGCCCTCCGAATCCCCTTTGATAGGATTCGGAGGCAAGCAGATACAAGCATTAGGAAAAATCTCACTCCTAGTGTCATTTGGAACCCAAGCAAATGCTAGAACCGAGTACATAACATTTGACGTCGTTGATCTGTATTACCCATACAATGCCATCTTGGGCAGAGGATTCACGACTAAATTCAACGCAGCCCTGCATATGACCTACCTGTGCATGAAAAAACCAGCACTCCATTTTATTATCACAGTCCGAGGCAGCCAGAAAGAAGCAAGAAACATAGAAAAAGCAATCTCTGAGCCCAAAGAAACATCAATGCAGTCGAGTCGGTAGACAAAGAACTAGAGCCTCCGGATATGCCCAGAGGAAAACAGATATGGCAGGTCAAGAAGAGACAAAGGTGACCCCTCTAGAAAAGGAGTTACCAGACAGAAAAGTAACAATCAGCTCAGAGTTGAGCAAAGCAGAGGAGGAAGAGCTCATGGAAACTCTAGTAAAAAACAAAGACATCTTCACCTGGTCAGCCTCCGACCTGCAGGGAGTCAGCAGGGACATCATACAGCATGAACTGGATATCAATGAAAACATGAGGCCAAGAAAGCAAAAACAGAGAAAAATGTCGGAGGACAGGATCCTGGCAGCAAAGGCGGAGGTGCAAAGGTTGCTAGATGCAAAAGTCATCAGGGAAGTCAAGTATTCAGAATGGCTTGCAAACGTAGTACTGGTACCAAAGAAGAA